ATCGAGCATTGTTTCGTTCTGCTGTGCATGGGGTCGCTATGAGTCGGTTCCGACTCGATGGCACCTGACAACAACAACAACAACAACTGATCCTACAGCACCCACCAGGACTTCAAACAGGATAGTTGGGTTGGGTTAAAGATATCAATAAATTATAAAACACCAACCTTTCTTTAGATTCTCAGACATTCAGAGGTGTTGTATGAGCTACCGAGTTGGTGCTGACTCATAGTAAACCTATATAGGGTTTCAAAGGAGCAGCTGGTGGGTTTGAACCACCAACCTTGTGGTTAGCAGTCCAATGTTTAGCCCATGGTGGCAAACCAGGACTCTCTCTCTCTCTCTCTACTGGACTGTGACCCACAAGGTCGGCAATACAAACCTACCAGCTGCTCCTTGGAAACCCTATATAGGGTTGCTATGAGTTGGAACTGACTCAATAGCACTTAACAATAACAACAAATATATATGTGTGTGTTGTTGTTAAATGCTGTCAAGTTGGTTCCGACTCAGTGACCCTATATAAGATTTCTAAGGACCAGGTGGTGGGTTTGAACCACCAATCTTGGGGTTAGCAGTACAGTACTTATCCTACAGTGCCACACCAGGGTTGGGTTAAAGATAGCAATAAATTATGAAACACGAGCCTTTAGGTTATCAGACACCACTACAAGATTAGACACAGATGGGGATGAATTTGTTTGTTTAAAATATTTCTAATACACGATTTTTAAAAGATTGATATACTTTCTTCATTTTATATAAAATGATTTTGTTATTGAGTGCTATCAAATAGGTTCTGAACCATAGCAACTCTGTATAGGTTTTCCAAAGAGCAGCAAGTGGATTTGAAACAACAACCTGGCAGTTAGCAGTCCAGGACTTATCCTACAGCATCACACCACATATAAAATTATAGACTTGGCATTAATAGCAACCTATGCACTGTGAGTTAATGCGCTGGACTGCAAAGACTGGTAAGTTTGGAGGTTCAAGCTCACCAGTCGCTTCTCGGAAACCCTATACAAGGTTGCTGTGAGTCAGAACCAACTCGATGGTACTTAATAACAACAATAAGAAGAAAAATAAATGATCTTTGACATTCTAATATTCAAATTGTGTAACATTATATTTAATTAAAACTACCTTTAAGCAATGAATGGAAGAATCCACTCTAGTTATATTTATTCTTTTGAGGACGAAAATGTGATTAAAATATAGCAAAGTTTCCATAAACTGAAGGAATATAATATTTTCCTCCAGGGAGGCATAGATGCAATTCACTTCCATTGAAACTATAATATGTAAAGAAGTAGAAGTAGAAACCTATTAACATTAATCTGACCTCATTTATTTCTTTATGTAAAGCCATTATCGTGTTTACTAAAAGAGAATAAAACTGATGGATAATTATGTTAAGTGCCATCGAGTCAGTTCTGACTCATAGCTACCTTGTATAGGGTTTCTGAGAAGCAGCTGGTGGGTTTGAATTGTCGACCTTGTGGTTCGCAGTCCAGTGCTGGTCCTACAGTGCCACACCATGAGTCCTAATTCTGTATTGTTAGAAAAGTTTTTTTTCAATTTAAACCCCTTCCTAGCCAAATAATTGAATGTACATAAATAGTTTTGCCAATAGCATGACAACTGGTAATATGGTGGACCTATAACACACTGGACCACAGATTCAGTTTGAATTGCAACATCAGTGGTTCAAATCCTCAAAATGTTCCTCAGAAATCTTCCACAGGTTTGCTGAATTAGAAGTGACTCGAAAGCACTTAAGAATAACAAATACTAATTATTCACCAGCATGACTACTGGTATTATGGTGGTGGGTAATTATACGTCCACCATAATACCAGCAATCTGTTTGAACTGCAAGGTTGGCGATTCAAGCTCACCAGTTGCTCCTCGGAAACTGTATACAGGGTCGCTATGGGTCAGAACAGACTCGATGGCACTTAACAACAACAACAACATAATATGCAATTAGAAAAACTATTTATGTACATTCAATTATTTGGCTAGGAAGGGGTTTCTTTTAAATTAAAAAAAAAAATCTTTTCCAACAATACGGAATTTTAATATTAACTTCATAGTGTACGTGTTTCAACATTTGAGGGTCCA